TCCATCTGCACACAGTACATGTTTACCATGATCCTGAAAAATTGCAGAGCTCGAAAAATGAATGATGACATGAGAAATCAGAGGCTCCCGATTGGCTGCGGAGTGGGCTCCCTTCCCAGGAACTTCCTGTTTTGCCCACATTCCGCAGCGGAACACCACAGAGTGAAAGCTCAGCATTTTTCAGAATTATTGAGGAAATGGGAGTTCAAAACCGAAATCATTCAGCAGATTTTCATTGGCTTGGTCTTGTGACTTTGGTCTGGACTGCTGAAAGGCTTCTTAGAAGTTCATTGACCCTTCCACCTTCGGCGTCTTAATGACCCCGCATGCCACAACATGGGCTGTAAGCAGTAAACTCTGTACACACAGTATTGTTGGGTAATGTGTGTAACACGCCCTTAGAGTTCTGTATGTTACACGGGAAGCACATATGGTTGTATTTAGAGGAACTGTGCAAAGAACGATATACGGGAAATCTGTCCATGTGTAAGGTGACGGTGGCAATATAACAGAGCCACGTTAAAGACCGATACACCACAAATTGGGATTTAAATTTGGCAGATAAAAAGGTTTTCATAGTTACATCTTATTCAAATTTGGCAAGATTGGAACCTTAAAGAAATACTCCGGGAATTTAAAAGACTTACCCTTGTAGTGGGACTAGCCCCCACTTTGCAAGGGTTAGGTGCTCATTTTGTCTAGGGGGGGCTTAAATAAGACAGATATACCCACCTGACCCTCGGTCCCACGGTGGCGACCACTCCCCTCTGTGGACTGTCCCTCGTTGTCCTCACGTCTAATGCAAGTCAATGGACATGGTAACACCAGCGGTCCTTAGAGAAGAGGCCTAGCAGCCCGGTGGGACCAATGATCAGGTGAGTAAATCTGCTTTATTTGAGTCCCCCAGACAAAAGGAGCACTTAATCCTTGCAGTGCAGAGGTAGCCCCACTGCAAGGGCAAAATGTTTTCAATTCCCAGTGTTATTCTTTAAGATGGCATACACTGCTCAAATTTAGGCTATGCCCTTCTGAAATGAAAGGATTGTATAGCACACCATTGTCAGGATACAAAAGCCCGGTGGGAGGATTCCCCCCATTTACGCTAGACCCCGGGGCTCAACAAATAAAAATGCTAAGTGTATATTCAGTTTAGAGTTATGGGGAGTAAATACAGACTATATGCCGCTTTGTGGTTCGTCCAGTGAATTTCTATTGCTACCCATGCCCTCATCCTTTACCCTTGTCCCAATATTTAGGAGTACATTTCCTCTTTAAAAACACCAAAGACTGCCCTGATTTCACCTTCCCTATTGACTCCAATGCATTTCACCAAAATCTCCCAATTTCTGGGGAAATGGGAAGTCTCTGTTTCACTGGAAATGACACATTGATATCTGGTTCCAGAGTTTGCCTTGGGGTTGCAGGGCCTCCTGTGTGCAAGTTTCCTGAGTAAGAGTAAATGTCCCAGGCCGGCCCTGATTGCTTCAGGATACAAAATGCAGGTTCGCTGTATGTAGGTAACAACTTTAACAATATGAAACACACATCACACGTCACACCACGCTGGGATGGAAGATTGGACCACCATGCTGACTATTTGCATTAGGCACCATGCTGCCTGGTTGTGCTGTTTATTTATTTCACCATCGCTTTCTCTACATGTACAGCTCTGCAAAGCTAATAAGCTGCCGCATGGCCTCTAATGGCATCTACATCCCTACACAAACATATGGACAGCACATGGCCAGGGGGGTAATACTGTGCCTCTGCTTGACTAAAGAAGAACTCTGCATAGCAAAGTGTGTATCTCAATGGTTTAAAGAATATAACATGGGGGTGGGGGGCACCACAACTGGCTGAGATCTTCCCGGATAATGGAGTCAATAATTGAGCAGATTGGTTGATGAGGCATTGGAGAACATGGAGGCTGCCACTACTGACCTGTCCTCCTGGCCTTGGTTTTGATACTTTCACACAGTGACAAGGAACAAGTAAGCAGAGAAAGACTTCTACAACTATTCAGATCTGCGTAACTGTTCCAGGCCAGGACTCTAGCATTTTCAAAAAAGACATACCAGCATAGGCAGCCCCAACTATTGTCTCATGACAGGAAAGGATTATTATACTGTAGTGTAGTTGTCCTTTAAATTGACACTAAACTGAGGAGTTAAATCTTAAAAATACATTCAAATACCTAAACTATTAATAAAAATGTATCTTATTTGTGTATCACTCGGCTGTAGATCCTCAAATCATCTCTGAATTGGTGCCGACGCTGTCCTTCCTTCTGGAGGGGGGCTACTTTTGTTCCCCATGGTCACTGTGTGTTGTAAAGTAGTCACCACTCCAATCTCGCTCCCGTGATGGACTACAATCTCATGCTTAGTTTACTAATCTGCATTGAGATTGTAATCCATCCCGGGAGTGAGCTTAGAGCGGTGGCTACTTTACAACACACACAGGGATCATGGGGAACACAAGTAGCCCCCCTCCAGAAGGAAGGACAGTGTCAGCACCAATTCAGAGATGATTTGAGGATCTACAGCTGAGTGCTACACAAATAAGATACATTTATGTTAATAGTGGAGGAACTTGAATGTATTTTTAAGATTAACTCCCGAGTGTCACTTTAAGTTACCCCCCTTAGACTCCCCAAAATCTTATTCTACCAGTCCATGCTCCTGTGAGATCCATGTTGTGTGCAGCACAGCCGCTAATGTAAACTCTCTGGCTCGTTTGTGCAGACAATTCCTGTTTATTCCTATGGAGAGGCTATCTACAACCTGACCATAGGCAGCCTCTCTGCAGGAATGGATGGGAATGTTCTGCCCATGCATAGAATTGTGGGGCCGGGTTTTGTGGCTCCCCTTGGATTGAACATGGAAAGCAAAACTACAAAACTATACTGTGGAAGGTTCATTGACTGGAGAGACGGCCATTTCTAATCTCCCTCTGAAGGCACTAGTTCCCTGTCTGGTATTCCTATCTGTGGACCTTTACCTCCTTTCACTATAAATTACATCAGCATACAGCTCAGCATGCTGATATTAAATTATCTTACATTCATTAGCTAAACGCACATATTTATTTTACTTACAATATATTTTTTCCCACTCTCTGGTCCAATTTGGCACAAATGATGTAATGGTGCCCAAGCCTTGCATCCTGGGAAGGTTAAACAAGCAGAACATTGCTGGGAAATCTCATCTGAAATCTCATGAGATCTCAGGGAAAGGAATTTTCCTCCCCTGAGATGATGTGCATGGTCACATGTCTTAGTCACATGTGCCAGAGTTCCAGGAAGTAAAGGGAGATCTAGTAATCTGCCCTTAGTTAAAATGGCCACAGTCAGAAGACTTGGGAAGAAAAGTAAAATAAGACATGCAAAGAATACAAAGCCGGCAATTATCTAGAAGTATGTGTTTGTAGATTGTCATTACTAAACATTTCTAAAGGTGTGTTTGTTGTCATTTTGAAGATCAGGGTAAAGGTCCGCTTTAACCTGTGGCTTCAATGCTTCCTAATTCAAATCCCAAACCAACTACGTACACATGCTTTTTCTTGAGCATTGACAAGTGTAGTGTTAAAGCTGAACTCCAGCAAAAGCAAATATTGTGTGAAGAGTAATGTGTATACCTACTAGAATCTTGGTGTTCTTTGTGTATTTCTTCCAGATCTGAGCAGTAATTCAGTGTGAAACATTACATACCTCTGTGCAGGATCTTCCTGTAATAAAGACCAGTCACTGCTGCTCTCTGGAGGGTGACTGGTCTTGTCTCTGCCCCCTCCTGTAGTTTTCAGTAGCAGGTGGGGCCTGTTGGGTCCCTCCCACACCTCTGCTCTCTGCACAGGCTATGTACAGCACAGTGATGATGTCACTGCTACTTTTACAAGGTAATACCTGGGTTAGAAAACGTATTAGGATTGGATGTATACCCTTGGTGGCTATTAAGGAATTTATTTCAAGTTTTTGTGCCATTCCATGACTTTGAATAAGCCTTTGCTGTACCTCTAAAGTATTTTTTTGTTTGTTTTGGGAGCACAACCTAGAGGACATTCACATATGTGCTGGTGATAGCACAGGTGAGGTCTTTTTAATCATTTATGTGCATTGAAGCACCATTTAAAATGAATGGCAATGCACATTTACAATGCCTTACTGTGTGTTTTGACTCACATGACTTTTAGACACATAGAAAGGTGCAATTGGGCCCCAAGTGACTCAAAGCATGGAAGCGAGAGGATCAGCATGACATCCAGATTTTTTTTTTAAAGCAGAGGACAACCTTCATGACTTCCCACTTTGAAAACATCCAAAACACAGATTTGTTACTTTTTACATTAAAAGGTGTACGTTATATTTGAGAAACGCTGCTTTATGTCGGCTGTGGAACTACAAGTGACAGCATGCCTTCTCCAGAGATGTTTGTATGGTTACCCAGTGCAGAGCGTAACCAGCCATCCCTCCTCTACAGTACTGTGCAGCTCGGGGCGTGGCTATGTAAATGAGATCCGACTCCCAGCACGCTCCGGGACCTCCTCTTCTTTATGGGAGGGTGACGACATGCAGCGTAGCGTCACCTGGGTGGGCGTGGCCTGTATGCCAATGAGAATGGCAAAGCAGAATCCTGGAGAAGGTTTCAGTAGAGAGCGCCGTAAGAGGCAGAGCGGAGCGCAGATCACCCATCAGATCGCTGCATCCAGGAGAGCCCAGGGGATCGCAGCTCCATTCAGATCGCACACACACATAGCGAGGGATCGTCGCTCCATTCAGATCGCAACTTGTAAAGACTTTTGACACATTGTAGCCAAGTGACTTCCACACGAAGATCGCACGATCTGTATCCAAGTGACTTTCGCACGATCTGAGCACAATATACGGATTACTTCCATAGGACTGGATCCAGCATAGGGGGGTCACTGATCTGCTTCATCCTGGCAGGGAGACCTCTACATCAGCCTATAGCCAGGCTGACTTTGACCCATCGGAGATGCTGAACTGACACCCTCCTCCCCCTCTTCCTCCATTGATCCCCATGATCTACCTAATGTTGCTGGAGCCCCACCATGACAAGACCAGCACCCCAGAGAAGATGTTTGATGGCTCCAGGAAGATGAGAAGCCTGTGGGATGGGGTGAGGCTGGAGGTGGCTGGGGACAGCAGCCCTGTAGTCCTCAGCAGTTTCACCCAGCTAGATCCTGACCTGCCCCAACTGGAGGTGAGAACTCAGCTGTGATGTCTATAGGAACACCGACCCTAAGTCATAGCCAGGCTCTGCCCTCTTAGTGCTAATAAGCCCCCATCAGGGGATGGAAGTGGGCAATGGAAGAGTTAAATGAGCTCCCTAACAAAGCATTGTATAAGATTGTGGTTAGCCATTGTTGATTTGTTTATTTGTCAGATGTATTAGATAACACACATTAGACAGGCTGATCCCATATCATAGGAATGTCTCTGCCAATAGTCTGAATGCATAAGTAAAGTGAAGGGCAGTACAATGATAATCCCCTTCCTGATGGTATGTGTTGTCACTAGTGCTTGCACAGGCTCTTGAAGTATGAAGTGCAAGCTCTTGAGGCAACAGACATCTACGTCTGAGAACTTTATCCTTGTATGCTGTAGTTTGGGCGACAGGCAACATTTGCATGGGCATTGGACCCGCTTTAGGCTTGTTCACACCATGTCCAAACTACATCCGGGCCAGAAACACCTGAAGGCCCATTGTAAGCTAAAAACATGCTGTGAATGCGTCAAAAATGCACTGCACTTCAGATCTACCGGACCTGGTCTGTATATGGTGTGAAAAAGCCCTTATTATGGTTCAAGAGCCTGCACAGGGAGCTGGAGAGGTAATCTGTCAATGAGTGATGTTTTATAAAGTTTATGGCGCTTTGACATTCTCAGAAAGACGAGGGGGAGTTGCATTTAACGTTTGCGGCATTTTTCGGCATTTGGAGACGATGGGGTGAAATGGTGGTAGCGGATGGAATTTTAATCATGAGTGGATTATGCTGGATGGAAAAACCACATAGGTTTCACATGGATCGGTTTATTCATTGGGCACTGCTCGTTTCCAGAGACCTGGGCTGCGAAAGGGATTATTAAGTGATCAAAGCGAGGAGGGGAGACAGACGAAGGTGCCAAACTCGAGAATTACAGACGGGCGACTCTGCAGCCGTAATATTGTGTGGAACACGCTCACATCACGGCTTCAACCAAAATACAATGATATATACACATGTTTATTATGGTTGCCCTGGGAGATGACATGGCTGTGCTGATCATACCACAGAGCAGCTGAGTTACATGTCCTAGGGACATGTATATCTA